CTACTAAGCCAGTCAGGCACCTCAAAGTGTTAGGTTTATGATCCATTTGGATTCAAGCTTTGTGTATAAGTAAAATCAGTCATATGCATGTATCTGTATGAATACGTGAATCTTGGCTCTGCTTCTTACTAGTGTCACAATGATGATTGGACACTGGACAATTTTCTTAATGTTTTTATCCATATGACATCTAATGGTTCTGGTATGATTTCTTGAAAAGACTATCCTTTTCCATGGAATTACCTTGGCATCTTTGTCAAAAATCAATTCACCAGACATGTGTGAGTATATATTTGGATACTCTGTGCTCTTTTGAAGGACTATATGACTGTATTTTTGCCAATTCAACAATGTCTTGATAACTAGCTTTTTAGTAAGCCTTGAAATCAAGTAGTTTAAATTCTTCAACTTTGGGATCCCTGGGTGGCGCAGCGGTTTAGCGCCTGCCTTTGGCCCAGGGCACGATCCTGGAGACCCGGGATTGAGTCCCACGTCGGGCTCCCGGTGCATGGAGCCTGCTTCTCCCTCTGCCTATGTCTCTGCCTCTCTCTGTGTGACTATCATAAATAAGTAAAAATTAAAAAAAAAAATTCTTCAACTTTGTTTTTTTTTTTTTTTTAAGATTTTATTTATTTATTCATGAGAGACACAAGAGAGGTAGAGACATAGGCTGAGGGAGAAGCAGGCTCCCTGCAAGGAGCCCACTGTGGGACTGGAACCTGGATCCTGGGATCACGCCCTGGGCCAAAAGCAGACTCTCAACTGCTAAGCCACCCAGGCGTCCCTTCCTTTTTTTTATTTTTTAAATTTATGTATGATAGTCACAGAGAGAGAGAGAGAGGCAGAGACACAGGCAGAGGGAGAAGCAGGCTCCATGCACTGGGAGCCCGACGTGGGATTCGATCCCGGGTCTCCAGGATCGCGCCCTGGGCCTAAGGCAGGCGCTAAACCGCTGCGCCACCCAGGGATCCCCCCAGGCATCCCTTCCAACTTTGTTCTTTTTCAAAATTATTTTAGCTATCCTAGGTCTTTTGTGTTTCTACATTAAATTTTAGAATCAAGTTGTCAATTTCTATTACAAATGCTCCCTGGGATTTCAACTGTGATTATACTGAATCTATAGATCGATTTGGGGAGAATTACATTTTTAAAATATTGAGTCATCTAATCCATGAAGATGATATATCTCTCAATTTAGGTTTCCTTTAACTTGTCTCAGCTGTGTTTTATACACACACACATATATTTATATGATTTTATTTATTCATGAGAGACACAGAGAGAGAGAGGCAGAGACACAGGCAGCGGGAGAAGCAGGCTCCACGCAGGGAGCCCGTCGTAGGACTCCATCCTGGGTCTCCAGGATCACGCCCTGAGCCGAAGGTGGCGCTAAATTGCTGAGTCACCCGGGCTACCCTCAGCTGTGTTATACACGGTACAAAGCTTGTGCATATTTTGATAAATGTATCTCTATTTTATGATTTTGATCCTGTCTTACAATAGCTTTATATTTAGTTATTTCATTATCATAATGACCCTTTCTATGATGTAAATATGAGCTTCATTTTATAGGAAAATGGGACTCAATGAGATCAAAAGACTGGCTCAGGATCATAAGATTGGCTAATCTTATTTCTGGAAATGTATCTTAGAGATATGCTTTCTCATGTTCAAAATGACAAGCAAAAGGTTATTATTTCAGCATTGGTTGTAATGGCAAAAGTTTAGAAACAACACTGAATATATCAGTGGGACTGTTAAATAGATGATACATTTTTTTTTTAGATGATACATCTTTAAAAGTATTAGGCAACAGTATAAAAGAATGAGGAGGATAACTGGTCACTCATATAAAAGGATGTGTAAAATACAGTGCTAAGTAAACAAACCAAGGTGCAGAATGATACACATGGTTTTTCTTTTATGTAAAACATGGGATAGGGTGGGAAATAAGAATATGTATTCACATTTACTTGAGATTGTTTTAAGAAAACTCTGGAAAGATACAATAGACACTAATCAATTATCTTTCAGGGAAGGGATGGGGACTGGACAGATTGTTAATGGAGTGGGAGACTTCATTCTATACAATTTTATACTATTTTTTAACCATATATTACTTTTGAGACTGATTTTCTCCCAGTATCAATTTTTTCATTTCTTCCTTTTATAAATAGGGTCCTCTACCCAACTTTTAGTATGGCATTTGGTGCCATATAAGAGATTTTTAAAAAAAGAGGGATTATATATCCTAGCCTCCCCTAGAGCTGAGTACATTTATGTGACTGAGTTTTGCAATGGATTGTAAACAGAAGTGATGTGTGCTATGTCTAGGTCACTTCTTTAAAAGGAAATTGCTTCTCTTCCATTTCCTCTTCATCTTTCCCATGGGCTAAACTATGGCTATGGTGTTGGTAAACCAGCTTTGATCAGAGTAGATGAGGTAATGATCAGAACTTGATGGAGCAACCAGATAGCAACAAGGAATGTGGACTCCTGGATGACATGCTCAAGAAGCATAGCTGTCAGGCCTCTGGACTGCTTACCACCTCCTGGACTTTTCATGAGAAAAGTCTTTTTCAGGTCACTGAGTTTTTGGGTGTTTCTATTATAGAAATAGCCTGTACCGCAACTGCAATTTAATTCTTCTAAAGAGAATTAATGATGAGGCATGAAGCATAATCTGCCAAAATTTGGGACGCCTGGGTGGCTTAGTGGTTGGGCGTCTGCCTTTGGCTCAGGACAGGATTCTGGGTCCCGGGATCGAGTCCCGTGTCAGGCTCTCTGCAGAGAGCCTGCTTCTCCCTCTGCCTGTGTCTCTGACTCTTTCTCTCTGCATTTCTCATGAATGAATGAATGAATGAATGAATGAATGAATAAATAATCTTTAAAAAAAATCTGCCAACAGATTTTTTTCAACAGAAGTTGATCCAGGTGGACTAAATGAAACAGAAGAAACCTGAAATATAATGCTGGTGACGTTTGAAGTCAGGTTGGAAAAGGAGAATTAATGGCAAAGCAAATTGAACTTGGAGAAATTGACAGAAGGAAATGAACACAATCCAATGGATATTGGTAGATGAAGTTGTAAGGAACTTATGACTGAAATAAGTAAAGGAAGTATTACCTCATTTAAAAGGAACAAGTCTACAAGACAAGAAATGTAGTGCAGTGTAGCCCCATGCACTAGAATTATCCAGCTGGTGGCAATTGATAATGGTCGAATGGTAGCTAGCGAATAGGTTGAGATGAAAGGTGAGAATACAGAAGTGATATTTCTGTCAGAATATATACAGGTGTGTATGTATGATTCTCTTCCCAGTGACAATGTCTAGTAGCCAGAGGGACTTCAACCACAAAATTTTCTTTTAGGCTCTCAAAGAGAAATAGTAACTGGCATCACGATGGCCACGGGGAAAAAGGAATTATCTGATAAATGTAGGTGCTAGAACCAGGAGCTAGAACCTTGGAGTGACCACAGTCCAAGGCTGGCTGCCAAAGGGAGTAGCCAGAGTCCAAGTCCTCATATTCCAGGGAGCATGTCATCTCACAGGGTGTCTCTTAAGATCAGAATTTAAAAGAGCATGCATTAAAGAATAGCACAAGCCTACAGGGACTGATACTTTCTTGTAGGCTTAAGTAATTTTTGCTTTTAAAAAGAACGCCAAGGAATTTTCAGAATTTCTTGTTGTTGTTTTTGAACAAGCCCCCATTCAGAGACCCTCCTCCTTCACGAGAGGGTCTTCGTCCCACTGGCATCCCCGTAGGTGGAATCCTGCTCCAGCCCATCTGGCCTCGCCCCGGGAATCTGGCGTCCGCCTCGCAGCGGCCGGACCCGCGCCGGGATCCCACTGACCCTTGGCGGAAGGCGGCGCGTCCGGGTCCTGCGGCCCACTGGGGGCCGAGGCCGCAAGGGCGGGGGCGCCCCCGACCCAAAGGCGCGGCCTGTCTTTCCCCGAACTCGGGAGGCCCGGGCCGCCGCGAGGGCGCAACCGCGGGGCTCACCACGGCGACCCGCGCGCTTCGCCGCCGCCGCCGCCGCCCCGTCGCCCGCGCCCTGGTCCGCGGGGCCCCACCCGCACCCCGACGCTCTCCCGCATCGCTCGCCACGCGCGGCGACGCCCCCACCGCCGCCGCGACGGCCTCCGGGCCCGACTCCGCGGCGTCCGGTCGAGGTCGGCCGAGCCCACGCGTGGCGGCGAGCTCGCGTTACCCCGGGGCGGCCGCCGCTGCCTCTTCTCCAGCGGGCAGCTCTTCCTGTGCGGCGCGCGGCGGTCGGGGCGTCCGCAGCCGCAGCCCCCAGGCCGCTCCCCTTCCCGGGGGTCCCCGCCCGGACGCGCGCGGCGCCCACAGCCTCCAGCGGCCTGCCCCGGGCCTCCCCTCGGGGAGGGAAGAGTTGCGGAGTCGGCCCGGCCCCGGCCCCGGCCCCGCTTCGGCCGCCCGCAGCCCGCAGCCCGCAGCCCGCAGCCCGCAGCCCGCCCCGGGCCAGGAGGCCGTCCCCGCCGACCTGCCGCTTCCCGCTCCGCAGCCTCCCCGGCCGTCCGCCACCGCGGCGGGGACCTCCGCGCCCGGCACGTTACTCGGGCTCCAGCGCGTGGTAGAGCCGGGGGTGGCGGCCAGAGCACAGGCCGGGGGCGTCTCGGCGGCACCGGAGAGGAGAGGCCGTGCAGGGGAGCCCCGCGGCCGCTCGGCGGAGGGGACCCCGCGGCCTGCGCGCCCGACCCTGGCCGGGGCCCGCGCGCCACCGTCCCTCCCACCGCCGCCGGCCGCGGCGCGCAGACCCACACCCCTTCCTGGGGACGCAGATGGTCCGTCCCAGGCGGAGGCCATGTTGCTGCGATAAAGCGGGCGGGGCGGCGGCGTGGGGCAGCAGATGCCGCCGGCGGCCAGCGGGAGCCCGTGCGAGCAGCGCGCAGCCGCGGGGGAGGCGCGGGGGAGGCGCGCCGGGGCGGGGCCGGGGCCGGGGGCGGGGCCGGGGCCGGGGCCGGGGCCGGGGCGGGAGCCGCAGCCCGGGCAGCAGCCCGCGTCCGCGGAGAGCACCCAGTTGCAGCCGGAGCCGGAGCCGGAGCCCGAGCCCGAGCCCGAGCCCGAGCCGCAGCCGCGATGGCCGTGGCCGTGGGGAGACCGTCTGTGAGTGCGGGGGCCTCGCTTCCCTTGCCCCGCTGCCGCGCCCGCTGCCCCGCTGCCCGCTGCCCCGCTGGGGGGTCCGCGCTCCCGGGCGGGTGCGGGCGGGGGCTTCGGGGGCCGGGCCGGGGCTCCGGGCTCCGGGCGGCGGCGGCGGCGGCGGGGGGTGTGCGTGGGGTCGGCGCGAGTCCGAGCGGGGGCGCGGGGGGCCGGGGCTGCTGCGCCGCGTGATGCCACAGGGCATCGCCCCGCCGCGCCCCGAGGCCGTGGCTGTGGGGAAGGGCCCCTCCTGTTCCCCTGAAAGGGCGTTGCTCGCCTGCCCCGCCGCGCGCAGCGTTCTCCCGTGACATCGGGAACCGGCCCCCGGAGCGCGCGGCCACGCGGCTGTCCCCGCGGCCCGAGACCCAGGACCCCCCGGCGCGCACCCGGCCCGCGCGGCCCTGCCCAGGACGTGGGCGAGAGCCCGAGACACGCGCCAAGTTTTCGCGGGGCCTGTGTCGTGGGGGGAGCCGGGGCGGCGGACCGCGGAGGCGGGGACGCGAGGAAGAGGAAGGGCGGGCGGGGGCGGGGGCAGCGGGGGCCCGGCGGCGCGGGCGCGGGCGCGGCGCGCGGGAAGGGCGGGAGAGGGGCGCCCCCGCCCCGAGTTCGCCGGCCGGGGGGGTCGCGCCCGCCGGGCCGGGGCTCAGCTCGCGGCGTCGAGGGCGGTCGCGGTCCGCGGCCCGCGCTCCGCATCCCCGGGCGGAAGGCGCGGGAGGGGCGGGGGCCGGGCCTCTCCACGGAGAGCCGAGCGGGGTGGGGGAGGCGGAGGCCGCCTCTTTCCCCCTTTCTTTGTCGATGTTCGGAGCCCTCTTTCTCACGCTGGTGTTGGGGGCGCCGCGAGCGAGGTTCCCCCCTACACCACCCCTTTTTCCTTTTCTCACCTCCTTCCCACAACTGTGTAGCTGCAGGTGGTGGCTTGAGAGGTCTTAGGGTCATGCACGAAAGTCAGTCGGAGATCCTGGAAGCTCTGAGGCCCCGGGAACGCGAGGCTGTGCTCCGACTCCCAGTTCTTCCTACACGTCCACTCCAGAAACCGGCGCCCTTCGCAGCCCCCGGCCCCCCCCCCACTCCCACCCCGCCAGGGTAGTTCGTGGGGACCCTCGGCGTGTTCCCACGCAGCCTGGTGGCTCCGCTGCCGAGGCGTTTCCAGAGACGATCCCCACAGTCACAGTGTGCTGTGGTCCTATGGAAGTATAACGGTGGGTCCTTCAGGAGCTTTAGTCTCCAATATTTAGCGATGCACGGTAAAGAGTCCAGGTCTCCTCTTGCACACAGTTGTCTTCTTGATAATTAGTGGTCAGGGATTGTTGTTACCGAGGGAATGATTGATTACACGGTGCATTTTGCTGGTGAGGAAGTTGAGGTCCGGCAAGGTCAAGTTTATCTGAGTAAATTACTCCCACCCCTCTCCCCTGTCCCTGCGCTATACTTATTTCCAGGGCACAGATTCCAATGACAATTATCTACTTTAGATGATTGGAGAGCATCTAGGAATGCAAATTTGGGGCGAGGGAAGTGTTCAGTAACACCTATTGCTGGTGCATTCTTGAGGCTTGGGGGATGTGGAAGAAATAATTTGTTGCACATTTTCTATGAATTAGTTAGTTCATATATGTCAGTTAAATGGGAACAGTATGTGGATTTAAGATTTAGTTGTGTGGCCATAATCATATCCAACACCAGGTCTGCTAACCAGATGTGAGCTTAATCCCACAGAATTCTTGTGTAAGACCTCTCTTATTCAAATAATAGAGGAGATTTTAAAAAGTGTATGTGTACAGAGGAGGTAACTGCTGTCTCTGCACATTCCCTGTTGGAATTAAGATTAAGTTACAGTTTAAAAACAAGACTTTTTTTGGACTGCGTTGTGTAGTCATCAAGAGTTGACTACAGAGTTGAAAAGTCTTTTCATATAGTTCCAAGGAATTGTTGAATTGTTTCACTTTGTTCATTCAGTTCTTGCTTTAAGTGTGGTGCTTTTAGTCATGTCTTCAAAACAACCCTGGTGAACGCAGAGTATTTCTCCAAACCCAGCTCCAAGGGATCAACACTACATCCTCCATCCTAGAATTCTCTACTCCTCCTGTGCCTTTATCTATTCTATGATTTGAACAAATGGAAGGGTATATTGAGAGAAAAGAATCATTCTGAAGTCGATTTATGTATGAATGGAGTTTCCCTAGTTACTCCTTTACAATTAGACTTTTTTTTTTTTTTAAAAAAAGGTGTTTAGGAAAACATGAACAGACTCCTTTCCCTACAAACTGCCTCTCCCGTCCAGATTGAAAGAAAGTTCAGTTAGAATAATTTGCTCTTAATTTTAGGCATTCTTAACTTGAACATCTTAGTGAGATATTCTAGGTAAATACGAGATTTTACTGGAGAAAATTCCTTATATGTCAGATGGAGTATTTTCTGTCTTATGAAGTGGTTATATTCACTTCCAAACATTTAAACCTTAAGGCTGAATTCAGATGTTTCTAAAGCAGATTTGCCGGCTGGAAAACATAAAGGCTTCGGGTTAGTGTGGTAGTGTTTATTTCTGTTCTAATCTCGACCCCTAGCTTCTCCATTTTCTTGTGGATGGTTTTGGTCAGAGAAGATCCTGAAGTATATCTGCTGTTCCCAGAATATAACTAATGATTAGCAAGAGCGTTCTCCTCTAGGGATGTGTCCACATTTTGGATGAGTTAGTATTTTTGCATCCAAATCCCAGGACAGCTGTTATCTTTATTTTAAACAGAGCATGGTAATTTACTGTACCTGGGAATGAGGCTTTATGTAGCTGATCCACTCTCTTAAGGTGTGATGTTCAAGTTACAGAGTCTACGAGGTGAAAGGAACTTTTAGAGGTTATTCAGTTCAGCCTTCTTCCCAATGCAGAAATATTTCCTACTTTATCCCTAACAAGGTATGTATTTAAACTTTTCTGGTGGTGGAGAGTTTCTATGATATCCTTCAAGAGACATGTTTAATTGTTCTTTTTTCTGTTGAGCCAAAAGAAATGGAAAACCAAGTTCATTCATTCACTCATTTAAAACCATTAATTGAGTACCTCCTGTATGCCAGGTACCGTTCCTCGGAGCCAAGGTTATAGCAGTGGACAAGACAGAAATTCTCTTTTTTCACCTGGAGCTTTTATTTTCTGAGAGATTTAGTGTCCATGTGTATAAAAGTGACGAACTTCAGTGGAGTATGTAAGCCATTTAGGAAGAAAGGGAATTACATGCCTCTTGCTGAGTCAACAATTATAATGCAGATAAAGATCTTGCTTGGGAATCATTAGAGACGTTCATGAAGATATGGTCTGTTTTCACCAGGAAGAGGCTGGGGACTGACAATGAAATTTATTGTTATTTTCTCCTGCTATAAGTTTGCCAATTACATCTTGAGGTTGTAGCCTTCCATGTGGAGGGCTCTGGTTCTTTTGTACCTGGAGAAAAATTAATGGAGCTGAGAAAGGTCCTGGGGGTGGCTATCTAAAGGATAAAGGGGCTGTCGTGGGGGGGAGGTTTTTATTTTTTATTTTTTAAAAAGTTTTTTTTTATTTTTTTTTTTTTTTTTTTTTTTTTTAATTCATGAGAGACACACAGAGAGAGGCAGAGATGTAGGCAGAGGAAGAAATAGAAATGGGCTCCATGCAGGGGGACTCCATCTCAGTGTGGGACTCCATCTCGGGACTGCGGGATCAAGCCCTGATCCAAAGGCAGGTGCTCAACCTCTGAGCCACCCAGACCTCCCTGGGGGGAGGTTTTTAAAAACTAAAGCTCTTTATTCAGTGGTAAAAATGATACATTTTGAGACTCTAAAAGCAATTATTAAGGAACGAAGGAAGTGTTTGAGGTCATCTTTCCTTAAATCTTTTGAAAGTTGGAGGGTTTTTTTTAATCTTTTAAAATATCTTTTAAAATGATGTGTTTACATCACAATGAAAAACAGACCCACGGAACTGATTAAAAGAACAAAACTACCCATATCCCACCATCCTGATATAAGAGCTCATAGATTGTTAGTGTATTTTCATCGATTACGAGAGATTTGCATAGGTAAGCATAACTCATCTCGTATAAGCTGCAACTTAGGAACCAAACTGTGTGCCCAGTAGACCCTGTCTTTTTGGACACTCCTATAATAGAGGAAACTGATGCTCGGTGCTTTTAAAGGGGCTAGCTACCCTGTGTCTAGACAAAGGAATGAAAGATTTGGATGTCCTACTTTGATTGATTGCCAGAAGATCTAGTGTGTATGTCCACTGATGATGCCACAGCTGATAGTGATCTTTGGGTTTAGACTCCCTGTGGGGCAGGCTACAATCAGAGCTTTCTATGCCACTAGTTTCTCTTTATAGGACCTTAAACTTGATTGGGGGTGGGGTGTATAGGGGCAATTGTTGGATTTTATAATTTATTGAAAACTCTTTCATAGTGCTAGTTAGACCTGTCTCAACTGGGGTCAGTGAAGCAGAACCATTATTTAGACAAAGACCCAGAAGATCTAAAGCTTCTACTCTGTTGCCCCAGGGAGACCTACTCTACAATATAATTGATACCCCCTTTGTTGTTGTTGCTGTTTTTCAAATCCAGATTGACAGAAAACTCCCTTCGAACTAAACAGTAACACCCCTGACCCACTCAGGCCTGCTGGCAGCCCATCAATGCAACCACTGTAAAACTTAAAAACAATACTGGGGCCAAGGTGCTAGAGACAGGCTTCTAAAAAGAATTTGCTGGGTGATAAATCAAATTTGCATCATTGCAGGCCTGGTCCGAGGTAGAAATCCGGAGTCTGTTCTTTCATATGACTGGAATCCAGGCATTAGAACCATCTTTTTTTAGGATCTATGTCAGTGAGTGTGAATGCCTTACTCCAGTCAAAGGGTTCAGGAAGTTTACCTGGTGGATGCATTCTCTCCACCTGTTGAACCGTGACTTTATGGGATGGTGATGTGTTGATGGAAGGGGCAGGCT